AACAAGTCATTAGTCTTAATTTTGGACCGTCTGGCCCGCCATACCAGCACAGCACAAGACTCATCCATGACTCCCAGCATGCATTGCGGCATGAATAAATTATGCCGCTGAATTGTCCACTAATTTTCTTTCATTCTTACTAGGTGCTTTTATTTTTGCTTTTGTGTTAAGTTTTAGAAGCGTGTTTTGTGATGTTCAGAGTCGACCTGTTTATAATTTTTTTTGAGTGTCACCGTTGTTGAGATTCATACGCTGATTCTTCATAGCCCTTTTTTTTTTGAGTGATATGTAGTATCTTTCATAACAGCTCACCTGATATTTCAATCTGTTATATTACCATAATATCACTTTAGTATAAATAATAACTAGTCAAACTCAGTGAACTTGTTTTTTAAAAATGGAAATGTCAATTGCTATCATAACCATTAGCATTAAATATTGTGATTTGACCCCTTTTAAACAGAGCTAATGTGTTGATAACATAATAGTTAAAGCAATCAATTAATGATAATTAAAACATGTCAAGGTTCAAGATCCCAACTAAAGCAAACACTGATCTCCATCATGGTAGTGTCCCAAAACAACATCTAAACCTCTGTTCATTTTCAATAAGCACTTCTGTACACATCTGACAGAAATAGCATCAGTCTGGTTAGTAACATGAAGTTGGTGATGCTGTTTTAGAAGTTGTTTAATCAGATCTTGAGAGATTTAATGTCTTTTATTTCAGTTGATTTCATCTAAGTCTGTGGCTGAAGTCAGTTGTAGTTCTTGTGTTTCTCTTTTCTTCAGTGATTCTGCTTTTTAACAGCAGCTGTTCATCACTAATGCTCAATCAGCACTTAATTAATCACAGAATTATCTCATTAACTTTAACACTGCTTCACTCTGTAGTGTGGACACATTATAAGTGTTCATTTAAAACTGAGGATTTTGTTGTGGGGTTTAAAGGGTTAAATGTGTAAGATGGAAAAAAATAGCATGAAATGTAATTTAACAGTAATAAACTGTAATTATTTTACGGCCACAAATTGTAAAAAAAACAGTTATTTACTGGCAGCACGGTTGCCAGTAAATAACTGTTTTTCTACAGTTTGTTGCCGTTAAGTCCAGGAAAAAACAGCAATATACTGTAAAACGTAAGAGTCAGATTTACCAAACGAAAAAAGTTAATTTGACTGAAAATTTGTGAACATCCATAGAAAAAAGTTATGCAAAGTCATGAACTGATAAGGAGAGTAAATACTGAACCGAACTGTATTATTGTGTTTCAAGTGTGTCTGTCTGCAGACTGCAAGACAGGGGCATAACTTGAAGTTGTCCAAATCACACAGAACCATGCGAGATGTCAAAACGAGATGTTGTTGGCAAGATGGCCGCTTGTATAGAGACAACGGTGCAAATTTTTTTTGTTCCGAAATAACCGTTCAAATTGAAGTGTGTAAGTTATTTTCATACAGTGGTGTTGTTTATGGACGCTGGTCAAGACTAGTCCCAGACTAATGCAAGTCTGGGCTGTTTTAACTGAAAGCAACTTGAACTGACTGATCTTAAAATATTTTTTTTTTGTCTCCAGATGCACATCAGTAGTGTTTGTATCCAAGGCACGTTTATAAAAGCTATTTAAATATCCGAATTGAACAATGGCCTAATCCCAGCTTAATCTAAACCCTGTCTGTGACCTACATAATATAGCATATTTGTGATTTTGCTGTAAAAACACGTTTTATAATGCACAACTAACAGGGAAGCTCCATTAAGTACACATACGTCTCAAAAGTGGATTTACATGAACCATATATACATCTTAAAGACAATTACTAAATGTCTATTTAACATCTGACAGGATCATCTTTGGTAAGTATTGCAGATGAGCACATCTAATAGACATGAAACAGGCATCTGAGTGATGTGTGTGTGTGCTGTTATGTAGAATTCACTGTTGTCAACACTGTTTTTGATGAATGTAAGTCATGTAAACAAACAAATCTACATAAAGTAACTAAACAAGTTATCTATTTTATTTGTCCATTAGTACTTTTGAATAAAAAGGTGTTGAATAAAAAGTGAGTTACATCAGCAACTACCTCAACATGTAAAAGCAGTATTGAGCAGATAAATCACAGAGGAGACTTGACTCTTGTCTGGATGTTAAAGGAACAGATGAGACACACGGGTGTTTATCCGCTGCAGAGTGACTGATGAAGGAATGCTATATAAACATATTTTAAATCTTAATTTGTAGTTTATAATATTAATTATTGTAATTTCAAACAACTATTACAGCACTTTTCTGATTCTTGATTTGTGTGCATTTGCTGGAGATCTTTTGTGGTGGAGCAGGACCTGCAAGGCAAGGTGACGGCGGCATCTGTGAAAAAAAGGGAAAACCTGAAACAAAAATATAAATAAGATAGCAGCACACAGATGTTTGGAGCAGACACAGTGGCAGCCAGATTGTCCCACATGTGTTCCCTGCTCTTGCTTCTAGCTTGTGTGGTTCAGAGAGCCGTCATCATGGTCTTCCTCATCCTCTTGCTCAACGATGTCTCTGAGAAGAGTGAGATTGTGAAGCAGAACTGTCTCCGCTGTGTTGAGATGCAGTAGGATGTGGGGTTCACCATCTGTAAATACATGATTGTTAGAACAATACGTTTGAATTAAGCTTTATTTCATCTGTTGTCGACTTGTATATGTATTTATTGTGATGCTTACTTTTATTCATTCCTTTACTCATTTATTCATGTTTATTGTTGTCAGTAAATAAAATATAAATAGTCAAATTCCTTGTGTGTGTAAACATACTTGGTAATAAAGCTATTCTGATTCTGATAAAACAAACATGCATGTGTTCATCATAGTATGAGATAATATACACAGAAAAAAAGCACAGTGACAAGGTTAAATATCTTTGAATATTTCATCATGATGCTTCTTTAGAAGCCTGAGGTATGAAACCAGAGTTAAATTCAACAATAAAAAGAATCAAACAAAGGAGATTTAAGCCACTTTTGCTTGTGGATGAAACATTTTGCACAAAATAATTAACAAGATATTCAAGAGATAACGATTTTGGGCTTTCAAAATATATTTTAAAAAAATGCTTTAAGGATAAAACTGGATCAAATTAGCGGAGTTAAAAATATAAGAACTTAAATCAACCCAAAATGTATTGGCTATACTGCAATCACAAAAAAGGGCAGCTGTTTCTTCAACAAGACCACAAAAAAAAAAAGTTTCATAATTATCAAGATACTACACTGTAAAATCTAATTAGTTGGGCTTACTTAAAAAAAAGCATGCAAACCGATTGCCTTGAAAAAACTAAGTAAAGTGAAATAGCAATAGTATGTTGTACTGACAAATGCTTAGTTAGTATAGTTTACTGACACGAGAGTTCTAGTAACTAAAAAAGAACTGTAGGGGGTACTTGATCCTTTCATTTAGGTTTACTCATGACTTAGTATAGCTACTCACTGACTCCCAGAGTGCATTGCGGTATGAATAAATTATACAGTTGCTTTGTTTTATAGTTGTTGATTTTATTTGCAAATTTTATTTGCTGTCTTGTGTCAGTAGCAGCACAACAAAAAGAGCAAATAAAATGGCTATTGTTACAAGTAATGAAAATAAATTAAATTGAATTGTTACCATTGTTGTGGTTCACGTGCTGAATGTTTAAGTCTGTGTGTGACTTTAGCATATTACCACACACAATTTAAGAATTATATAAACCCAAAGAAAAGCATCTCAGAGTCTATATGAAAAAGTTTTTGATAAAGTTGATTAATGAACATTCAAAACTAATATATTAATGCAATAATGCTTTAATTAGAAGATACACTTTCTAAAAGCAACCTATTTATTACTTTTCTCCCTTTGAAATCAAATAACTCTGACTTCATAATGCATTACTACATTAACAGGAAGATAATTATAGTAACGTAAACCAAGTTCAAAGTGCCCAACCAAAGGGACTGCTAATCACTATAATGGGAAGTTAAAAAAAACACATTTTAGGAAAATCAACATCAATTTATAAAGTTAGCTTATGTGATGTTCTTTCAAATATTTCAGTTGTATTGAGAATTCAACATTCAAGATGACTTTGGGAAACGAGTGAATGCAACTAGTGAAAGATAATTGCAGACATGGAGGAAATGAGTGAAAAGTCTATTAAGACTCGTTTTCTTTTCTTCTTCTGCTGTTGTTATGTTGCACATTAGCAACATATTAGTGCACTGCTGCCTCTCATTGGTTTATTAATGTCATTGGTTCCTTTGTGGCTACTTGAATATTTTAAGTAAGTGTCACTCAAAACAGTAAGTAAATTGTTTTATGTGCCTTGAAAGTAGCTGTAACTTAATAAAACCTAGTAAGTATAACAACTAAGTAAAGATAACTAACTAAATCTAAGTAAGGTAAACTATTGGATTTTACAGTGTACAGATAGATGAATAAACCTGTCACTCATAACTTTTAAGGTGTTGCACTTGTTATAACGTCATAGGTCACATGATAACGTCAATATAGCGGATGTTATCCGAATCGCATTCATACTTAACGCATTCAGGCTGTACACTCTCATAGCGCTTGGTAAGTAAGTACTTAAATGCATTACTACATTAACAGGAAGATAATTATAGTAACGTAAACCAAGTTCAAAGTGCCCAACCAAAGGGACTGCTAATCACTATAATGGGGAGTTAAAAAAACACATTTTAGGAAAATCAACATCAATTTATGAAGTTAGCTTATGTGATGTTCTTTCAAATATTTCAGTTGTATTGAGAATTCAACATTCAAGATGACTTTGGGAAATGAGTGAATGCAACTAGAGAAAGATAACTGCAGACATGGAGGAAATGAGTGAAAAGTCTATTAAGACTTTCTTTTCCTCTTCTTCTGTTGTTATGTTGCACATTAGCAACATATGAATGCACTGCTGCCTCTCATTGGTTTATTAATGTCATTGGTTCCTTTGTGGCTACTTGAATATTTTAAGTAAGTGTCACTCAAAACAGTAAGTAAATTGTTTTATGTGCCTTGAAAGTAGCTGTAACTTAATAAAACCTAGTAAGTATAACAACTAAGTAAAGATAACTAACTAAATCTAAGTAAGGTAAACTATTGGATTTTACAGTGTACAGATAGATGAATAAACCTGTCACTCATAACTTTTAAGGTGTTGCACTTGTTATAACGTCATAGGTCACATGATAACGTCAATATAGCGGATGTTATCCGAATCGCATTCATACTTAACGCATTCAGGCTGTACACTCTCATAGCGCTTGGTAAGTAAGTACTTAAAGATATTAAGTGCCTATAACTTAGAGAGTATGCGGTTTCGAACGCAGCCCGACAACATCTCGTTTTGACATCTCGCGTGGTTCTGTGTGATTTGGACAACTTCAAGTTGGATTTTACAGTGTATGCACAATCAGCTTGTAACACTCCAAAGAGAAAGGAAAACTTGAAATCGCATCATATGGGTCAACAGAATTTAAAGTAACAGAATTTACAGAATTATCCGGTGGACTGTCAATTCTGTTTGATTGTCAGCATTGTTACTCTACCTTGGTAACAGAGTTTGACGGTAACAGAATTCACCATTTTATTTTATTTATGCCAAAAACTCCACTTGCTAACATAAATGCTAAGAGCACATGGCACTAATGAAATCATGATTAAAATACCTTTAAATAACCCAATTTGTGATCAGTAATACATTTTGTTTTCCTTTTGACATTGTGGTAACAGTATTCAAGTTCTTAAAAATAACTCTTGATATAAGAACTTTTTAGATTAAAATATGTTCTCAGAGAGCGCACACAGACTTTTCCAAGTAGATATAACTGCAGACCGGAGATCTCCAAAATGGGGTGTGAACTCCAAAAGTGGGCAGAACCTCCAAAATGGGGTGGGGTCTCCTCCCGTAAAGACTTTCACTATTGGCTGTAGCTTCAGCCAACTGTTATTGACTTACATTTCAAAATAACATTTTATAAATTAAACATTGTTTCTAGTTCATCTAAAATAAAATATGCTATATAAGTAAATATTCTCCGTGAGAGCAGAGCCCAAAGCTCGTGGCCAGTGGTGTTCAGACTGGAGTTTGAACCTCTGCTTAATGATATAGACGGGAATCACCCATGAGATGAAAGATTTTACTCTCACTTGCTTTGTTCTAAGCAGTGGGGGCATCCCGGGGCTCGAAATTCGCAAGGTAGGAGGGGAAAGTGACGCTGGGTGTAACTAAAAAGGTGCCATTGTCCAGTGAGGTCCGGTTGGGGAGTTACGGAACAATCTCATGTTACATAATCTTATTAACTGTTTATCTCCTGAACTGCAACTTTCTTTACCTCGCAGCGCCAATCCTGCCGTGCAGTCAGTTTCGCTGGTTAAGTTTAGGGTCAAGTGTGGGGTAGGTTTAAGGGTTAGCATTTTTTGTAGCATAGTGTAGGAAATCAACACTTTAATTGACAATCAATACAATCTTTAGAATCAGCTGGGAGGTGGAGTTTGCACTGAAGTGGATTGGGGGAAAAAATTGCGCATGCGTGTCATGTGCCTGTCTGTCAATGGGAGGAAGCCACGCCCTATTTTGGAGCTCCCACCCCGTTTTGGAGTTCCCGCCCCCATTTGGAGATCGCCAGGCTGCAGTTATACCCTTCTAGACTTTTCAGTGCTTCAGATCTTATCAGTGAGGGAAAGTGTCATCATTTCCTGTATCTTACAGAATTGTGGGAGATAATTCTACCAATTTAAAGTCAAAATATGGTACGTAACAGAGTTGATGCAAGATTTATGGACATGTTTTATAAGAAAAAAGTTATTTTTAAACAATTTAATGTTGTAGAATTAAGTAAATTAGTATTTAGGGCTTTTATAAATAAAATGAATGAAATATTACCAAAAGAAAAGTACAATAAAATATTTTGATTAGAATGATACATGATAACAACAAGAAATCATCATTTTGAGCTATTTGAGACACTTTTTACACAAATTATTATAGTGTTATTGGCTGTAACATCTTGTAATTCATAACAATAAGTAACAAAGTATTAAAATAATTAAAAATATAACCATTTGAAAAAAAGCAGAGAAAATAATGACTTCGAACACCAAATGTACCTGCAATTATAGAATCACCCACGTGTTAAATGTACATCATTGAAATTGCACAGTTTTCTACCGTATTTACTTTAACTTCTCAGGTAATATCAATGGTATGACCTATTTCAGATGTGACCAAAATTACAACAACAGTGGTTACATACACATATATTTATTTGTTTGATCAAAAATTATTGCTAGGGACAATTTAATAGTTGTTGGATATTGATGGGGACACGTCCCTATTGTGTCCCTAGTAAATTCTACGACTTGTTTCTGGGTATCCAGCAGGATAGCCACCTTTCCTGCAGTCAGATTCAGCACATACTTTGTCCCCCTCTCGTACAATTGTCTGGACCACTGATACTTCAGCATTGTGAAATATAGTATGATTCTTCTGCCTCAAGCCATCAGTGACCCCCTGCATTTATACACAACACAACACAGAGAGAAATTTTTAATAATTATCACGAATCTGACATTATAAATCTGTCTCAGAGTATAAAAGTATAAGAATCCTACCACATCAAAGCACTCTTCTACATTTGTCTCATTTATTGGGATCTGAACTCTGGGCTCTTCAACAGCTTTCTGCAGGTCATAGCCAAAGAACAGATAGTTCAGGATCACCTGAGATATGAGACACAGGAGAGGGGGAAAAGGTTTTTTTAGATAGTCAAATACACTTAAAAATCACAGACAAAATTATTATTTATCGTTGTTAAATGTTCAACTCACTCCTGTGCTTTTTCCTACCTGAGCAACTGATGTGGTGATATTTGTCCCACCTGCGCCTCCGACCACCATTTTGACTTGTCTGCTGTGTTTGTCCAATATGATTGTGGGACACATTGATGAAAGTGGCCTTTTACCTTTGTCAAAACAAACAGTATTTTACATGTGAACATTTATATTTATATTGGCGGTTTTACTTAATAATGTAACTCAAGACATGTAAGTGTTTTTTGTTTTTTTTACCTGGTTTAATTAGGTTGTTCTTGTTACATCCATTTTTCTGCTTGGGTTTACAGAAATCATTCATTTGGTCATTGAATATAATGCCTGTTGAGTTTGACCTCACCTTAGAGCCAAAACTTTGTGAACACACACACACACACACACACACACACACACAAACACACACACACACACACACACACAAACACACACACACACACACACATAAACACACTCACAGACAGGCTGAAATGATACTCATACAACCGGAATTACATTGTGAACAAATCTCTCCAGCAGCTCCTGAATACACACACACACACACACACACACACAAATCCAGACAAGAAGATTGAAAAGAAGAGCTAAGCAACAGAGCTTTATACAAATTGACACTAAAAGTATATTAACATTTTGTTTTTAAAATTAGATGAGGTGTTTTTGATATATTCTTGAATGGAAAGTGATGCTGTCACAGATAAAGTGTATTTTCTTTCTGAATATTACAGTTATTTACTTTCCAAAACGGTATTCCGTTTATTAAAGTTTGTGTAATGTATTATGAATGTTCTTTCGGGACCACATGGAGAATTATATGGACTGAAAGCTGTCTGATTGTAACAGCTATTTGCCTAAAAAACAACACAAAATATCTCCTAGATGCTGATTAAAAGTTTTTGACAGTTTTTGCTATAACAAATGTACTTCTAAAATACACAGAGAAATCCTTAAGTTTAAAAAGTCAAGGGTCAGGAACGCAACTAAAGCAAGCGCTTGCCTCCATAACGGTGACTTCAAACTTTATTATTTTCAATAAAACAGCGCTAAGGCTTCATGGAGGCTAAGTGAGGGCTGCCCGTGCACAGACTTTGCTAAGTGCTAAGGGGCCAGCGTTTTGCCAATGAGCAAATTCTCGGGGCCCTGCACTGTAAAGGGCCAGTGCAAGCTTGTTTGCAGGGGATGTTTTGAAACAGAGGAACCAGACTTAATAACCAAAACTGGGAGTGTCAGATCAAGACCAGTGGCCAGTTGCATGAACACAGCCATTTTATTAAGACTGTGTCATGAGAACTAGTCTGACCAATTAGCAGTTAGCAAAAGCATTATGAGTCTTACTTTTCAAATTATGCAACTGATCCCAGCATTAAGAAACTCTGATCTCTCTTTATCTCTTTATATTTCTCTTACTAGTTATTGATACTGCTGGTGACTGCCACGGCACTGCCATCTTCTCCGATGATGGACAGGTGGGTGGTGCCATGATCATCATCTGGATAATGACCTTCTTTGTCATCGTATCTCTCTTGTTTGATGTAATCTTTAATCTTACTCCTGATACTGTCCGCAAAGCTTTCTGAGGTCATGTTTTTGACAACCTGTAAAACACTCTGTGACAAAATTCATAAATATGGGAACAGCAGTGCAGGAACATTATCAGTGAATAAACATACATGTTCTATCTGCTTCTCACACAAAGCCATTGTATGGATTCAACACTTGGAGCACAGCAGCACACAAATTTATATTGAGCATTTCTATGGTATAGCTTTGTATGCCTGTATTGGACAGAGTAGTGTAGATGAGAGAGGAAACAATGACATCAGCAAAGGACCTTGAGTCTGGATTCGAGCTGGGATTACGCTATATATCAAAACACGGCCCACACAGCTATTGCTTTTGCAAATATTTTAAAAAGGCCCAAAGAATCCATAAGTAGAGTTGAACTCACCTCTTTGACACTTTCATCGCGTGGGTCTCCCAGTTTACTTTTTTTGACATCAGCAAAGCGAAACGCCTCTATTATACGATGATAGGTCAAAGTCTTATTCCTTATAGTGGACACACTGCTGCTTGACAAGTTGTAACCTGAGATTAAATTATTACTTATTTGAGATTAACTGTAATGATAATTTTCCATAATCATTTTCACTCACTTTGAACACTCGGTTTAAAGAAGCATTACAATGTACCAGAGGTGGACAATCCAGGGGTCAGAAAGTAAAAGTCCTGCCATATGTTTATTCCACCCATGAACTCAGCAGCTGATTTCACCAGAGGAGGAACCAAGTCATCCCTTTCAAGTCACAAGCAAGTCTCAAGTCAAATCCCAAGTCCTCAAAGAGTTAAAGTTAATGAGATAATTAAGTGACTAATTAAATGATGATTGTGCATTAGTGATGAACACCTGCTGTTATTGAGAATTACAGAGGATCAGATGTTGATGTTTCATTGGTTAAAATGATGGCACCATCATGGAGGTCAGTGTTTGCTTTAGTTGAGCTCTTGACTCTTGAGGAAACTCTCTCTTTGTAGTAATGCATGTAGAGTTGTACAGTAGTGAAATCTGTTCTTTGCAGTGAACTTCTGTTTTCAAGTTGTGAGTTATTCATCAGGGGCCAATATTTATGCTTTGTAGGCCATTATATCAATATCTTTTTTTGTTATGTATATATATGTTTAGATTTTGAATAACCAACGTCGTTGAACTACAGCATTTAGTGAGAATGTTACTCTAATTGATATATTGAGTGAATTTTAAGTCTACATAATGCATATTAATATTTTAACTCCAGGTATATTTAGACACACAAAGACATCAAGAACCAGCATATGAATCTCAACAAAGGTGACAATCAACAAAATGCTTCATGCTGTAATGCATGCTGGGTAACACCATAGTAAAAACTCCCATCATGCACTGCAGCATGAATAATTATTGTCACCACTGTTGAGGATCATATGATAAGTGTTCATGTCTAAAAGCCTGAGTAAAATAGTTCTTCTTTTTTTCCAATATTTAAGCATTAATGGTGGCATTTGTTTAATCGAACTTATTTGCTGTTCTGTAACAGCTGAATGTCAGTCAATAAACCAAAAAGAGAGACCTTCACAATATTCACTCAGATCAGTTAAAAGCACAAAATGTATGCTGCTTCCTCAAGCTTTTAATTCAGCAAACGTTTGTTGCAAAGCAATATTGTAACTGCTCAAAAGCAAGCTACTTTGAATTACTAAAAGGGTCAAGAGGACAACTAAAGCAAACACTGATCTCCATGATGGTGACATCATTTTAACCAATAAAACATCAACATCTGATCCTCTGTAATTCTCAATAACAGCAGGTGTTCATCACTAATGCACAATCATCATTTAATTAGTCACTTAATTATCTCATTAACTTGAACTCTTTGAGGACTTGGGATTTGACTTGAGAATTGAAATGGTGAATAGATGAAGTGTCTGGAGTAACTTCTGATTGAGCAAAATATGATGCATGAACTGTCTGTTTCATAGGATGACCTCAAGGTAATCTGAATTGAACTATATTAAAGGGGTCATATGATGCGATTTCAATTTTTCCTTTCTCTTTGGAGTGTTACAAGCTCTTGGTGCATAAAGAAGAGCTGTAAAGTTGCAAAGTCTAAAGTCTCAAATCCAAAGAGATATTCTTTATAAAAGTTAAGAGTCAACCATGCCTACCTAAAACGGCTCATTCTAACATGCCCCCGCAAGATTTGCATAACGCCGCCCAAATGTTCACGCAAAAAAAGAAGGCATAACTTTTATTATCGCTGTAGTATTGTTGTTGCCGCCGCCGCCATGTTGTGGAGACACTGTGTGTTTCGTTGTGAAAGCAAAACTACTTTGTTTGGCCTTCCAAATGAGGACGATATCCGCTTCGTCATACTTAGAGCTGATCAGTGCTGGTCGCTGAGAAAATACATCAACTTCGCGCTGTGGATCGCCGGATCGGCTTTCACCGTGGACCAAGCAGAGTCCAGCCCGAGGTCGTCACATGTGGTTGCCGCAAGCCCACCAGCTGCTCCGTCGTCAAATTTGCCATCTGCTCACTTTAGCCTGCTGTGTGTTTCGTTATGAAAGCGAAACTACAGGTGCATCTCAATAAATTAGAATGTCGTGGAAAAGTTCATTTATTTCAGTAATTCAACTCAAATTGTGAAACTCGTATATTAAATAAATTCAATGCACAGAGACTGAAGTAGTTTAAGTCTTTGGTTCTTTTAATTGTGATGATTTTGGCTCACATTTATCAAAAACCCACCAATTCACTATCTCAACAAATTACAATACTTGATTAGACCAATAAAAAACATTTTAGTGAATTGTTGGCCTTCTGGAAAGTATGTTCATTTACAACTGTCAAATCAGCAGTCTTCCCCATGATTGTATAGCCTAGTGAACCAAACTGAGAGACTTTTTTGAAGGTTCTGGAAAACTTTGCAGTTGTTTTGAGCTGATTGGCATGTCACCATATTCTAATTTGTTGAGAACCAAAGACTTAAACTTTGAATTGAATTTATTTAATACATGAGTTTCACAATTTGAGTTAAATTACTGAAATAAATGAACTTTTCCACGACATTCTAATTTATTGAGATGCACCTGTACTTTGTTTGGCCTTCCACAAGAGGACACGACTAGAAATCAGTGGTTACGTAATTTTTATGTAAGTATTTACAGCACTGTTCCAGAACAGTTCAACCCAAATATTCAGATGTGTGCAATGCATTTTATGGAGGACTGTTTCCTGATCCTGGTAGAGTAGACTACAATGCTGGCTGTTCTGACTCATAGACTGTAAGAACGTTTTCATTTTTAAAGAATTTGCCACTGATGATTCAAACGTGAGTTTTGAGCAGTGTAGAGCAGTGCTTTTAATTTGTCATTTCTCCGATCACAAATGCAGACATGGTTTTATGTTTACGCAGCGTGATGAAAAAAGACAGTATAAATCATTATAATCAGTAATTATGTCCCCACTGGATGCAACAAATGCCTAGTTTGTAATGGGTTTTAATGTTTTTGTCTCGTCGCTCCGGCCGGGACACGGCATTACAGTATGGTGAGGGGTGTAACATGTCCGTCACACGCTTGAGGTATTCAGCCAATCACAACGCACTGGATAGCTGGTCAATTACAGCACACCTCGCTTTTCAGAACGATGAGCTTTGTAAAAATCGACGCGTTTCAGAAAGGCGGGGCATAGAGGATAAACAATAATTTACAGTATGTGGAAAATAATATGTTTTTGTAACCTTAAACCGCATAAACACATTTCTTTACACCAAATACACAAAATAATGTTATTTTTAGCAACATCATATGACCCCTCTAATATAAAGGTAACAGGAGCTGTTGTGTTGAACGGTCATATAGAGAAGGCATACTGCTTTGAACTTCACTAGGAGTTTTGTATTGAATTTTTCTGCTTAGGGCACCCGTTTGACTAGCAGCCCTGTAGATACTCACTGACCTTTGAGTATGTTGAGTATGAATGTGAGCACAGGTCCACCGAATGGAGCATCAGGAGCATGAAATATGTATTTCCCCACAGTAAAGTTTAATGCATACTCTTTCAGGTCTGCCGTATAATTCATTAGGTCCTCACGTGTTATAATCCCTCCTGTGTTATGAGAAACAAAGATTCAGACAGATTTGCATGTTTTGATAAAATGACATCACTAGACTGTTATATATGAGTAGCATCAAATTTAAGCATTAAGTAACCTTCAGCCTTGATATCATCCACTATACTCTGAGTTAATAACCCATTGTAAAAGGCACTTATTCCGTAGTTCGCTATCGTCTCATAGGTGTCAGCTAGTTTGGGAAATGATATGTCATCATTTTCCTTCAAGATGGTGGTGTTTGATTTGCAAAACACTTCACTGGAAAGAAGAGAGACAAGAACATATGCAAGATGATGTTATGTTCATGAAAAGACTGATGCTTTAGAGACCCCAGTGTAAACAGTGACAGTGTAGTATTATAATCATATCTGCCTTGTAGGATATTTGTTGTGTTCTTCTGTGGACAAAACAGCTGTTAATGAGAAAGGGTGTTTTTAATTAAAAAAAACAAAAACAAAAAAACATTTTCACTACTTCAGAAATCACTTATTCTTACCACAATGCTGCATTATTCAGAATTATGTCCTTATTCGCTTTAATGGCTTTGGCCAAGGCCTTTCCAATCTTAAATCCCCCGCGTGCCAGCTTTATACTGGGCTCAAACAGCTTGCTCCAATTCAGTCTCCCATGTCTTTCATGTGCCAGCTTATAACCATGCAGTTCTCCTGGAACACCTATAAATAACCCTGCTATTCATTACAAAACACAAAGGAGTGATCTAGTCATTAAAATGGCAAGAAATCATAAGAGAAATTCACTTTGTTGTTTTAATGATAACATGTGCTTACTGAATCTTTTCAGTGTTGTAAAATCATAATGGTCACTAGAGTTTGGAAAATGTTAATCATTGGTGGTTTACCTGGATTTTTCTCTGTGCCATCGCCAAACATGTTCTCTGATGCATTCTTTGGAGCAGTTTCTCTGGCATTAATCGTCTCCACCATTCCTGAGGGTGAAAACATGAACTTTTAATTTTCATTTAACAGTGAAGTGTTGGAGGCCTAATGATCATAGTGGTCACTATAATTTCTGGATTAAAATGCCTGTCAAAGGATCACAGTTCTAATGTGGATCTGAACTATAACCTCCCCCAAATCAGAGGGAAATAAAAGGTTGATAATATTCGAAGCGGGTGAAGGAGTACAGTACAAGCTTGTAACCATAACATTAACTCAAACCCTAAAATCTGAATGACGAACAAGGAGGTTGATTCAGGAACCTGGTCAAGGTGTGGTTTGCTGATGAACAAAAAGCATTAATGTGCCCCTATTATGGGTTATGAAAGGTTCATATTTTGGTCTTGGGAGTCCCCAACAACAGGTTGACATGCATGCAAGGTCAGAAACACTTTAGTTGTCATATAATATGCATTTATTTTGACCTTACTTGCTCAACAACTCCCAAACGATTCGCTCAACGATAAATTTTTCCGAAAAAGCAGCGTTTGTGAGCGCAGTGCTGCTTTGTGTACAGCCCAGGGTTGCCAGGATTTCACAACAAAACCCGCCCAATGGCTACTCAAAACTAGCCCAATCGCGTTTCGAAGGAGATCCCCCAGTAAAAATTGCATTCCGGTGGGGTAAAATACACATTTTTGGTAGGGTTCCCCTGGTAAAATCTGCACTTTACAAAAAAATATAAAATAAAATTAACGGCTATTTACTCCCAGTTAAGTATGTCAGCAGAATTGCACTGCAAAAAAAAAGAGTATCTTCACAAAGAAAATTGAGTATAATTTTACAATAATTTAAAGAATTTTTTACACCACACTGAGCACAGGTGCCTCACACGGCTGAGTGCATAGCCTGCTGCTGATCCCCCAACTGCACTGTCAAGTTCAGCTCCAACCACATCATCAAGTTCGCAAATGACACAACGGTGGTAGGTCTCATCAGCAACAGTGATGAAACGCACTACAGAGAGGAAGTGGCAAAGCTGGCTGAATGGTGTGGCACTAACAACCTGTCCCTCAATGTGAGTAAGACAAAGGAGGTTGTGATGAACTTCGGGAGGAACTCTGTTGACCACCCCCCAATGACCAGCTCGACTGTGGAGAGAGTCAGCAGCACTAAATTCCAGGGGGTGCACATCACAGAGGATCTCACCTGAACCACCAACACCATGTCACTCTTCAAGAAGGCACAACAGCGCCTACACTTTCTCCGTCGGCTGAAAAGCGCAAGTCTCCCCCCACCCATCCTCACCACATTCTATAGGGGCACCATTGAGAGCGTGCTGACCAGCTGCATCACTGTCTGGTATGGGAACTCTAGTGCAACAGACCACAAGACCCTCCAGCTGACAGTGAACACAGCTGCAAAGATCATCGGTTCCCCTCTCCCCTCTCCCCTCCATCCTGAACATTTTCCTTACACGATGCTCCAGCAAAGCCAACAGTATCGTGAAGGACTCCACCCATCCCTCCCACAGTCTTTTCCAGCTCCTACCATCAGGAAGACGGTACCGGAGCATCAGAGCCCGCTCCGTCAGACTGCTCAACAGCTTTTTCCCCCAGGCTGTGAGAACCCTGAACTCAAATCACCCCGCCCTCCTCTGAAACCCCATACAAACCCCCTACCTCCTGAAACATTGTCCATCTCACCTCCTCCATCCCACCAGCCCCCACCTCCTCCCCAACCTTACCACATCACAAAAAATTGTCTGAAACATTTCTGAAACAATTCGAAGTGTGCTACAGGGCCTGTACAAACCACCTGTAGAAACACACTCTCCTCTATGCGCACTAGACACTTCACACACAGCTTTGTGTACATAATCCCACAAAAGACTTCGCAATATGTATGTTTACATGCTCATGCACTACAAATCATCTTGCACTGTTCCCCAGCCAGCTGCTTGACTTACGATGTTTCTTTTTGCACATGTACAGTATTACGTGAAGCATCCGTATAGCCTGTATTTTTTAATTTATGTTTAGGTAAACATTTATATATAGTATATTTATAGTCCAAATCAGTCAGCAGGCTAGTTGTTGTATGCCTGTATTTATGTAGCATCGTGGTCCTGTGAGATACAACATTTCATTCCACTTTATGTCCCCACATGTAGCAGAACAACAGCAAAGCTTAACTTGAGATAATACCAACACTCATTCATGTGTGTTATAAATTATTGAAGAGCTTCACACGGCATCAGTAACTACACAGTTACTGCTTTTAAATAAAACAACAAGCAGCATTACATAAATATTTGTTTGTCCGTCCTTTACTTAAACACAGGCTCTGCTCTCCAGCACAATGGTGATCCACAAAACACAAAAGTGTTTCTTTTTTTGAAAGAAAAAAGTTTTCTTTTCTTGAATTTACGATTAAATACCGGCAGCTGTGGTTGCCAGTAATCTAGTTTTTTACAGTTTGCTTCCGTAAATTAAATTAACAGTATATTTCTGCTAAACATACATTTCACAGTGTGTTTTCTTCATCTCACACATTTAACCCCTTTAATCCCACAGTAAAATCCTCAGTTTTAAAGAGCAATTATATGTCCACACTACAGAGCTTTGAGGTGACACTCAACGCTCTGTATATAAAAATAGAGTCATATAAAACTGCTGTTTGTGATGTCAAAACCAGTATGAACTAGTTTTATTCACTTGTTTCATCTAATGTTTAATCTCTTATTAAGTGTGTAACACATAACTAATACTCTTGAGTTGCACCACTGATACTACCGCAATCAT